AATCGACTATGCTCGGGGAGTGGACTAAGGTTGATCGACTCCAATGTTTTTTTTTTATATATATTTTTTTTATTTTGAAGTTTTTGTGTATTGATTCCAAATGTATAAATCAATTATAATGTTCTCATATTTTTTGCTTTTGTAAAATATAGTTGATTTGCATTTTTTTTGCAGTTTTGATTTGTTATTTTTAGTAGCAGACTCTTAATCGACTATGCTTCATCATAGTCGATTAATATACTGATATAGAAAAAAATTAAAAAAACAAAAAAGTTAAAAAAAGAAATAATTTAAAGAATTAAAGAATTTCCTTAATCGACTATGCTTCATAGTCGATTTCCCTTAATCGACTATGCTTCATAGTCAATTAATAAAACTGATACAAAAAAAAGAAACGGGAAAATAAAAAAAAATCGTTGATGACCAGCGCGGTGATGATGTGGCGGGAGGGACAAAACTGGAAAAGATAATAGCTGAAAATGGATGTGAACTTTTCTCAAATGGAGAGAAATATTTTAGGCATTTCTCCATTAAAAGAAGTAACGAGGGGTTTCCCTCAAAGAGCCCCTATTTTCTAATCCTATATCTCAAATATTATCGGATTAATAGCAAACCAAAATCAGATATGTTATATCTATTGCTTATTTACATATGATAACATCCATATATTATACTATGGGGTTTTGTGCATAAGTCACCAACCAAACATCTTTATTATTCTAGGTTTAGGGGCTATATCTCTTTCACCAATAAGCCCATCCCTTTAATATTTATTATAAACAAAGGAAACATTCATGTATATGCCAATATTAACCCCAACCATTTATACCAAATTCTTAATTGTACCCCCAATTTAATCAATTTTATCCACAAAAATCCAATTTTGACCACAAAAATTCAATTTTGATTCTTTTTTTTTTCAAAAACTTTTTTTTTCAATAAATTTTTTTTTTTCAAAAAATTTTTGTTTGCCGCCGGATTTCGGCGTTGACCGTCGGTCAACACCGGTCTCCGGCGTTGACTTTTCGATTTATTTTTTCTTCCGGATTTTTTCGCCGGTTCCCGTCGTTGACTTATTTTTTTATTTTTTTTATTTATTATCATTTTTTTCTTCCGGATTTTTTCGCCGATTTCCGGCGTTGACTTTTCTTAGTGTTTTTTTAAGTTTTTTTTTCTCTTTTTTTTTTTCTTGTTTTGTTTATTTTTTTTTTACGTCCGCCGCTTAATGTTGACTGTAATTGTGCTGTCACTAACAGTAAATTAATGTAATTATACTGTCAATGACAGTTAATTAACGTAATTGTACTGCCGTTGACAATACATTTATGTAATTGTTCTGCCGTTGACAGTAAATTAACGTAATATTATTATTTATTTATTTATTTATTTATTTTTTTTTGTTTGATTTGTTGACAAGGCAACGTAATTATATTACTGTCGTTGACAGTAAAATAACTGTAAACACAATAATATTACTGTCAACAACATCAATATTATTATTTTTTGGGTGTTTTGTTTTGTTTGAGTTATTCACGGAGTAACATAATAATATTACTTTCTATTATTGTAATATTATTGTAAACACAATAATATTACTGTGGTTGACGGTAATATTACTGTTGTTATAGTAATATTGCTGTCAACCACATCAATATTATTATTTTGTTTGGATTTTTTTGTTTGTTTAAGTTATTCACGGAGTAACGTAATAATATTGCTGTCTATTATTGTAATATTACTGTGGTTGACGGTAATATTACTGTTGTTATAGTAATATTACTGTCACTCACAGTAATATTAATTCTTTTGCCTTTTTATTATGTTTACATTTGTTGAACGGTCAACATAGTAATATTACTCTATTACACAATAATAATGAGTTTTGTTGTGTTAATATTACTGTACTAGAGATTAATATAGCAATATTACTGTGTTAAACTGTAGTTTAGTTAATTTTACTGTGTTTAACAGTAATATAGTTAATATTACTGTCAATCACAGCAATATTGCTGTTTAAACGAACTTTTTTTTTCGAAAAAGTCAATGCCGGAAACTGAAGAAAAAATCTAGAAGAAAAATAAATTGAAAAGCCAACGCCGGAGACCAGCGACAAAAAAAGAAATTTGAATATTTATTTTTGTTTTTTGAAAAAAAACGTTTTGGATCAAAATTGAATAGTTTATGAAATTTGAGGTCAAATTGAAGTTAAATTAAGTTAAGGATGAAATTGGAGCATATTAAAGTATGAGGGACTATTTTAGTCTTTTACAAAAATCTGGACCATGTGTGGACTTATTGGTAAATTAGTTTTTTGTCTAGATTTTTTTATGAATAAGTATTCATTGATGAGCTTATTTGTAATGACCCCTTATACTATTAGGGCCCTTTTGGTTGGGTGGGTTGGATAGATAGGTATGGATGGGATATGTAGTATTGGGATGAAACTGTTGATTCACAATACTGTGTATGTCTTTTGGTTGGTTGTATTAGGCTGAAACTAATAATCCCATGATGAACAACACCGTGTTTTGTATAGCTGATAAACCAGTTTAATGTGGGATTATTTGCAAAATGACTGTAATGCCCCTGAAATACAATATTTACCGGCCTAACGCCTCTTTCATTTTTCAGCCCCTTTCACTCCTAAACCCTAAGTTTTTCCATCGATAATTGAAGAAAAAATCCCGACTATTGTATCCGGTTTTACAATTGTTTTCATGTATGACCGCCGGTAGCAATATTTCGTATAGGAGTACGAGCAGCAACGGGTATGGTGGATTCTATTCATATGGCGGGTATGGTGGATTCTATTCATATGGCCATCAACAACAATTTTGTGATTCGGTTTACAACTCGCCTTACAAACTTATTGGACCCCTGCTAACCCAGATGGCCGGTTCTTGACTTGCGCAAAACGGGTACGAAACCATGTCTACCTACATATACAAGTGAAGCCTTATTGTTTGGACTTTGAACTGCTTTGTATCTCCATATTTAATATGTGTGGTCTTTCAAACTCGTTATCACACATGTACATGTTAATTTGGTCATTATGTATAATTAATTTGGTCATGCACTAACATTTTTAATGATCTTCATTTCTTCGATATTTTTGTAGTCATTTCTCCGATATTTTTGTAATAATTCAATATAATATACATGAGGGTATATATGCACAAATTTATGTTTGCGGAATTAGTTGAACTAATCTGAGTATTTTTTTTTCCGTTTAGATGTTCATGAATTTTTTTGTATAATTAATCGTGAGTTTGATGTGATAATTTGTATAATAATCAAATAGCTATCACAATATAATTTAATGGTGAGTTGAGTATTTATATGTAACTAGCATTTATCGCACGAGATATCATTTAAAATGAAAATAATGATTAGTTAAATACGCGATAATAACAATTTTAATAAAATTTATTAGTGATATCGGTAACAACATTAACATTTATACAAATTAAATATTACAAACTCATTAAAAAAACTATAAAAACTTAATTGTCATAATATAAAATTGATTATTAAATAAATGAAGCAAGTTTTTTTTAGAGAAAATAGGCTGGAAAATAGGAGATAAAATAATAACAATAATAATTAAAAAAATATAGATATAGTGGATTATGATTGTGCTAGCCGAGATTTAGTGTTAAAGTAATTAGAAAACAAATGGCTGCAAAATAAGAGATAAAAAAATATTATATATAAATATTAACTAATTTAGTTTTTTATAAATTTGTAATTTTTGTATGATGTAAGGGTATTTTCGAAAATTTACATGGGTAAAATGGTGGGATAATTGAAGGGATAAACTGTCAAGCCAAAATTGGCTTGATAACTAATAAATCAAATGGGTGATTAAATCAGTGGGGCCGGATCTCAAGGATGGCAAAACATGTGAACCAAATGTTGTACTGAGGGGTACAACATATCCCATCATGCCTAATAATGCAAACTAAAAAGGCCCTTAGAGGGTGCTAAATTATACATTCAAATTTACTAAATCCCACACAGAAATGAAAGAAAAAAAACCTCTCTCTACTCGTATTATTTCTTACTTCTGTCTAATATAATTTTATCAAAGTCACCCAAAATTTTTTATACGTGAATAATCATAAAAAATGAATTCAATTTTGATTTAATATTTATTCAATAAAATTAAGCCTTTTTAATTATTCAAATTCGTATCAATTCGATTTTTTTTCTCAAATTCCAACTTTATTTTAGTTTGGACAAGTGAAGATTTTTCTCAAATTTGAATTTGGAATGCTAGGGACGTTTTGAGTGTCTGTTTTGTGAAAAAGTTAGGGAAAAAGAGGAAAAGTAGAGAACGGGAAGAGAAGATTTTAGAGAGATAAATATTTTCAGTTGTGTGCAGGATTTGGTATAATTAGTGTGAGATTTAGCATTTTAGTATACGGGTCCATTTGATATACACCCCTAAAATGGAAAATATATAGGGATAGGTCTACCTCTAAAATTCTTCCTTTGAGATAACCCACTGGAGAGGCAAAAATACTATTGTACCCTTAAGTGAAATTTCGCCCAACTGCATCAGCATTTACGCCCTAGCATTCAGCATAATGCCTAACAACATTAGCATATTGGGCCTGCATTTATCATTTTTATAGATTTTTTTATTAAAAAAATATAAATGTTTATTTTATTATTATTATTATTTATATATACCCTATTTTTTATTTTTTTTATTTATTTATTTTTTATTTTTTATTCTTTTAATTTTTATTTTTATAATTTTTTCTAATTTTTTATTTTTTTAATTTTTTAATTTTTCTAATTTTTTTAATTTTTTTTTTAATTTTTGATATTTGTGGGTTGGAGTTGCTCTAACTATAGTATACCACATTCATGTATAGTTATATGTAATCATGTACTATCTTTTTACCCCAAAATTCATCTACACCAACAAGTAAATTCACAATTCTAATCTTGATATTATAAATCAACTAACAAAAAAAAAAAAAAAAACAGAATCACAACATGCAAATAAACTTCAAAACATGAACACGCAATACATTAAAAAAACACATAACATACATATAACTATATGTTACTACATGTGACTATAATTATCTACAATTATCTATAGTTATATAAGTAGCATAAGTCTGTAGTACTGTAGCATGAATGCAACTTTACATGGCACTTCTCTGCATCTTAGTATTTGCATCTCATAATGTTATACAAAGCAATACCTGTGACAAAAAAATACAAGTTAAAGAAAACGAAGAACAAAATGGAACAAGCGCATTATATTACATGAAAACATACAAAAAAAAAAAAAAAAAACAATGAAAGATTTTTTTGAGAAATTTATTTTGGTGAACTATAGTCACAACTAGTTATCTGCACTCTTGTTACTGCATATAACTAGATATGACTATACGTAGTCAACTATAGTCACATGTAGTTATGTTCATTATTGTTACTATATATGACTATATATGACTACATGTATATGACCACATGTGACTATTTATGACTACATGTATATGGCCACATGTGACTATTTATGTATATAAATAAAATTCATCTACAAACGTTCACAATTGAATCTACATATCTATAACTTTTAGACAATGTAGTTAAGGAATCCAAATATTTATACATATATTAGTTCGATAAGATTGAGAAAAAAATCAAATATTCTCTGCATGACAAGTGTTTTGTTTCCGATGCACGATTTCATCTAGTGTATCGTGTACGAATTAATGCTAAAGACAGATTGAAACTTGTATGAAGCAGAATAGAAACGAATATAATTTTTAATTTCATCGAGTTACTAAAGATTACCGAATACACCGGTCAACCAAGTATAAGAGTTCATAGAATATAACTCACAAACGCAGTCATTTCAGCAGTACTTTGTTAGTATTCTCTGTATCATGCCCATCCTGCAAACAAACCATGATTATAATACAGAATATGAAAATCCAAAAAAAAAATCATGCAACAACAGTAAGAAAATACCGAAATACAAACTGAATAACTAGATATCCACTATATTGTAGCTAACACCGAGTTCGCTACAAGAATATTCAAACACATCAACCCCAAATCGAAAACAATTAGTATGTTCCATTGTAGCATATCGACCACATTAACTTCTAAAAATGGAAAAGTAAAAATCCTTCATATACGGGGAAAAAAGGCGAAGAATTGTAATAAATTTGCCGAAACGATTTCAATGGCAACATGACTTAATATATACTATTAATGATCATAAATTTCTTACTAAATAGAAGCAGAGTAAAGCATCCCAGCTTAGATAGATATTTACACCACCACTACCACCAATTTTTACACTGTTTCAATCCACCATATTATGAAATACAAATAGATCTATCAGAACTCAAGATGCAGGGGAAACCCTAATTAATGCCATCTATCAAACAAAACAAGATGCATGAAAACCTAATTACAAATTTCACCGGCAACAATCAAAAAAATCAAACAAAAATCTAATTACAAAAGTTCAATCAATAACCTTTTGTACCATTGAATATGCCTACAGATTTGTAATTTTTTTCAAAGAACCTCTCCCTTCGTGCACCGAGAAGGAAGCGATCTTAGTCCTCGCCATTTGCCGAGCCAGAACTCGTGCGGCGGAATACGGATCCCGTTCTCCTCCTCCTCGCCGCCGCCGTCCTCCTCGTCATCGTTGTCGATCTCCTTTAACCTTCCTCCATCCTTATCCTTTGCCGGCCTTCCGCTTCTTCTTCGTTGCCGCTGCCGCCAGAGAGTTTTCCACTATGGTGGTTTTCTGTTTTGACAAGGGAGAGTTAGAGAAAGGGATAGAAAGAGATAGATGGCAATGGCGTGTCGGGATTGTGGGTGGGACTTGGGAGTGGAAGAGAGAGGCTAATGTGGTTAGGGTTAAATTGAAACTAAAAGGGTAAAGTAGGTATTTTATGTTGTCCAGGGGTCTGTCAAATTAAGATCTGAAAATTTGGGTTTTTGACTAAAAAAAAAGAAAAACATTGGACCTCCTCTTATATATTTTCAAAACTAGGGGTATCCCTCATTTCCTCTTAGTATACTATTATATATAATATTATTTATATAAACAAAATATAGACAAATGAATTACGGGGTGTTACACCGTGCATCTTATGGATCTCAAAACGGGTAATTCGCACGATTGCAACAAGTCGGTCTTGTTGGGCCTAATCTTGAAATCTTTATAATGAGGTCCACCAGGCGAGGCTAGACACGACCATGGGCCGGGTTTGACCCGAACCCGGCCAGGAGACCATCCCAACCTGCCCCGTTGACCAAGGATCCGGACCGACCAAGTATAGGTTGGTTTTGGGTCCCGGTCCCGATTATTTGGACCCGAAACCCGACGGAGTACCCGAAGACCTGTCGGGTCAACCAAGAATTTAAGAGAAATAATCACAAAAAATGCAGAGTTTGGGGTTCGAACCCCGGGTGGCCCAAGTGTATCAGAAAAGTATTAACCACCCGAGCAAAATTAATTATTACAATGTCATTTCTAACTATAAGTATATAATTATAAATAACACTGTAAATTGATTATAATAATTGTATAACTATTATTTATTAAATTATTAATATTTTTTTTAATAATAACAATTGCTTATATATTTAGTTTTGAAAAAAATCAAAAATTACGATTTAATTTAAAAGAAGATTGAATTTTGATTTTTTTTAAATTTTGAAATTTTGAAAAATTTCTCAATTATTATTTTCACTTATAAATACCCATATTCCAATCTTCACAACTTTCATTTTATTTAGTTTATGTCTCAAGGTCTTAATCGTTTCATTTTTTTCTAAAATTGTTTAGTGTTTAAATTCAAATTTTTTCTTTTGTAATTTTAAATTTAAGTTAATCTCAAGTTTTTTCAAGTTTCAATTTAAGGTTTTTTTTTTTTTTTTTTTTTTTTTTGTGGTTTTTGGAAAAAAAAATAAAAAATTGAAAAATCGGTTTGGACCCGACCCGGACCCGGATCTGGACACGGATGGACCCGCCTCCCCACGGGTCGGTTTCGGGTCCCCTTAAAGTCGGACCCGGACCCAGACCCAACTCGACCTGTGGCCATGTCTAGGCGAGACCATGATATTTTGGGGGGAGTGTTCGCACGACTGACTCGAGCATGCTTCATGGGCTCCTTTTCTGGGCTGACTCAGATGAGGCCTGCTTCTCGCCTCACATGGGCCTGATCCTTCTCTTATTTGCAGGTACTCTCATCCGCGTAATTGGGCTGGGCTTGTCGTAAGCAGTCTGTCTCTAGGGCTAGGGGCTCTATGGTCGGGACAACCCCCATTAGACTCGGAGCAGATCCAGGTCCGTGTTCGGGGCGGGTCCATCCAGGTCCGGGTCCAAACCGGTTTTCTATTTTTTTGTTTTGCTTTTGCAAATAATTACATGAAAAAATTTGAAACTTGAAAAAACTTGAGATTAACTTTAAGTTCAAAATTAAAAAAAAAAAAGTTGAATTTAAACACTTAATAATTTTAGAAACAAAATGAAACGATTAAGACCTTGAGACATAAACTAAATAAAATGAAAGTTGTGAAGATTGGATTAGGGGTATAAAGTGAAAATAATAATTGAGAAATTTTTCAAAATTTCAAAATTAAAAAAAAAACCAAAATTCAATCTTTCTTTTAAATTACACTGTTGAACCGTAATTTTTTACATTTTTCAAAATTAAATATGTATGCATTTGTTATTAGTGGTGATTTTTAATATTAGTAAAAATGAATACGATAATTAATAATTTATTAATCATTAGTTATATAATTATTATAATCATTTTACAGTATTATTTATATTTATATGTTTATAGTTAAGATTGTTATAATAATTTACTTCGATGTCCGAAAGGCTAGTACTTCACTAACCACCCCGATAACCTGGGAAACAAGCCCTAAATTTAGCATTTTTTGTAATATTTCACATTAAATTCGGGTCCGGGTCCACTGTGGTCGAGTCGGTCCGGGGCAGGTCAGGTTGGGCCGGGTCTAACCCGGCCCGTGGCCGTGTCTAGGCACCATCACCCTTATTTTTATATACACTTTTAGTCTAGAAATAAAGACTTGTTTTTCCTTAAATCACCCCATATTTTAGCCAGTGTTCTAAAAATCGGCCGAGGCGGCCGATTACTCGGTATTCGAGGCGGATGATGTCACAAACCTTTACAATTTTGATATATGTGGCGGTTTTAGGCGGTCTGAGGCGAGTTGTGGCAGTCCGAAGCGATCTGAGGTGGTCAAACCTTGGAGGCGTGTGTCAAACTTTTGTGGCAAACAATCGGTCAAAAATGATTTTGTACTTTATTTTGTTTATGTTAATTTTTACTCATATGCTAAATCCCGCACCAATTTTACTAAATCATTCACACAATTGAAATTTTTTCTCTCTAAAATCTAATCTTCTCCTTCTCCACCCTTCTTCTTTTTCCCTAACTTTTTCACAAAACCACACACTAAAAACTTCCATATCATTTCAAGTTCGAATTTGAGAAAAATCTTCATGTGTTCAAAGTAAAATAAATTTGGAATTTGAGAAAAAAATTCGAATTGATATGAATTTAAATAATTAAAAAGGCATAATGAAATTGAAAAATATTAAATAAACCTAAACTCACTTTTATGATTATTCACGTGAAAGATTAACGAATTTTGAGTGACTTGGAAAAGATCATCATAGAAAAAAATTAGAGAGAATATAAGTAAAGAGAGATTTTTTTTTTAATTTATGTGTGGGATTTAGTAAATTTTCGTGTGGGATTTAGCATGCCCCTAATTTTTATTATTAAAAATCCCAATAATATATGCTTGTAATGTTCAAGACTATATTTAAATTCAATAGATTTGGCTGTTTTTTTTTTTTTTTTTGTATTTTATAATTATTTTTATTGTATTATTATTTTATTATTATTAAACTTTTATTATGTTATTAGGATATATAAATGATGGAAATATAATCATGTTTCAATATCTATTTATATATGTTTGAGTAACGATAAATAATATCTATATAAATTTTAAACACCAATTTGTTTTCTATTAGCCACCGTCGCATCGATTAATTGGAATCAGTGCCTAACAGCCTTCGACCCGAATACCATTTTTTACAATCTTTATTTTAGCCCAAAAAACCCCAAGTCCCCCCTATTTACAAGGAAGAAGAACGAATTCGACTACTTCTTTCTGATTACTCATCTTGTTTTACTAAATCAAAATGACAATTTTTATATGCTTTGAGATGGGTATATGCTTTTTTGTCCTCATATCAGAAATTTCCACAATGTTGCTTTACTCTTCAATTAATATTTGAGTGAACACTTATAAAAGTAAAAAAAAAAAAGGAATAATGATTATAAAAAATAGAATAACTATTTAAATTAATATAAATATTCTATAATGAAATATGAAGTCATTAGTTAAACAAAATTTAATATTACTAATATCGTATTTGCGAAGTTTAATATCATTTGTTTGTTATATTGATAAAATTGTAATATTCACAATGCACAATGTCATATTTTAATTAGGATTTTATTAAAAAAAATAGTATTTAAACTAATTAAAAATAAATTTTATTTCAATTGTTGTATTATTTTACTATAAGATATGTGCATAAGTGACTTGGTGTATGTAAATTGATGACTAAAGTGAAAACTAATTAATTGATGACTAAAGTTAAGTGTGTATGAAAATATGCAGTTAGATGGTCATTAGTCAAATTAAATTCAACAACTAATTACCCAATTAATAGTCTGGATTTTTTGTTTTTTTTTTTCTTTTCTTTTTTGTTATAGCAAATATCTTAATTTACCTAGAAAATTTATTATTTTTATTGATTCTGATATACCTAATTGGGCCGACCCAATGGGCCCTAAATTATCTAATAGATAGGCCCGACACACGAAAGCTCAAGCACCTTCAAAGTAAAGTTTGGGCCCAACAAAATAAGCCAAATCCAATCAGCAACATATAAATAGATGTTTTACTCATTTGTAAAGGTACGTTTTCATTATTCACCAATAATTTAGAGTTTAATTCTCTCTACCATCTCCACGATCCGTATATCTGACTTGAGCGTCGGAGTGGTTTCCGCCGGATCAACCCCCGGCCTAGTTCACGTGTGTTCATTTCGCAGGGACCTCAGGATCATCAAATTGTCAAGCTACTGATCCGCTTTGCTCTCCCAGCTCATTTTCTACACCACCCTAGGTGATGTATATTTTAGCATCATCATTTTGGCGCCGTCTGTGGGAACGATGCAAACCAGATCACGTAGCCAACAAGATCCTCCTGAGGCGTCTGCTCGGAGAGAAAATGACACAACTAATAACCTCCCCGTCCGTGGAGGATCTGGCTTGCCACCTCCTCCACGTGCCGCGGAGCCACCTCCTCCACGTGCCGCGGATCTACCTCGCGAGGTTCAGGTGATCCCTCATCGGGACCCACCACTCGCCGATCCACCACTCCCTGCTCCTCGAACGGTTCAAATAACCGAGGACGCGCTCCAACGCATGATAGTAGGAGCCTCAACTCGCCCCGCCACGGAGGCCGTAACTCAATATATCGCCACGATGGTAGCAAACGCTCCAAATGCAATACCAGCGCCAACTCTACCTATAGTGCCACCTGTGGCCCCACCGCCAATCCAGAATCAAATAAGTGTCTCCTCCTCCACCTCGGACCCACGGTCCCGAGTGCAGCTATCCACAAATCACAGGGGGGCACAGCCCAGACAGCAACATCAACGCTCACCCCCACAGGGGAATGCGTCTCCACAGAGAGTCCCTCTCTTTAATGAAGGAGAAGGCGAGGTAAACAACAGAATGTCGCGCCATCTACTGAACAATCCAATCGGCGAAAGAATGCCCGTCTCAATAAGACGTAGTCCTTTCACCATAGACATCCTCAACGAGGTATTACCTCAAGGAGTGAAGAT